TCGTAGTTATGTGGAATTAGACATTCGTTTTTCTATTGCAGCGATCTAGCGATCTCCTTATAACTTCGTCAGTTTTCGTTCACACTTTGCACGTTTCTTATTTGAATTAGCAAAATATCAATAAAATGACAAAAGCTCCGATACAAATAGCTGGTTGATTTTTAAAATCACTCTTAAAGAATTTACAATATTTTGTCAATTTTTTCTGGTAAAGCTAACAAAGCATTGTTGAAAAGTAACCTCTTCTCTTTGACTTATTCATAACCTTCGTGTACATATGTTCTCTACTTCGCTCTGCAGTCGAAAATCGATGGGGGCAGCACGGATGTGTATTGTATCAGTAGCTATTGAATATTAACTCCATCGGGTAGATCGATTTCGTCTCTTAACACATAAAGCATTTTTAAGTTCTCAGTACGGGTGGTTGTTACACTGAATACATTAACAAGCCCCATTTACACAAGTAGTACATTACAATGATACAGTGATAGAGGTTGATACACAGGAATCTGATAACTTACGTAGCTATATATATCAGAAGAAAGGTGCTAACCGATGCAGGGTCTTACTAATTTCGAAGTTAATGCCCTTTGAAGTTAACTTTAAACTATAACCATATAATTTGCGACGATTGTTGAAAAAGCCATTTAAATTTATAATAGTCACTTTTGATGTCCAGGATGAGGTCTTACCGTGGGGAGAAATCGGAGAAAGCGGAAAACAGTGTGATAGAGCAGATAAATACAAGGGACTCTCTTAAGATATTGTATAAAGCAGTAGTTACGATCAATTCTTTACCTGCACCCTGGAACATTTCATGACAAAACTGAAGACACAGGCGAGTAATTTAATTGGTCTAGATCGGATATCAGGATAAAATGAAAACAAAAAAAAACTGACCAATCACAACTGATACAATCCTTTGAGGATTTAAAGAAGCGACACCCAATTTCAAAGTAATCGTCCACTGAAAGGCCAAAAGGCCGCGATAGTGGACGTAAGAACAGTTAGATATATAATTAATTTAAAATTTTCATACCACTATATCATCCGGTAGTTTTCATACCATTATACCATCCGGTAGTTTTCATCCTACTATACCATCCAGTAATTTTCATACCATTATACCATCCGGTAGTTTTCAAACTACTATTCCATCCAGTAGTTTTCATACCATTATATCATCCAGTAGTTTTCATACCACTATACCATCCGGTAGTTTTATACCACTATAAAATCCGGTAGTTTTCACACTACTATAAAATCCGGTAGTTTTCATACCATTATACCATGTAGTAGTTTTCATACCACTATTCCATCCGATAGTTTTCAAAATAACTCTCGATATCGGAAAATTGAGTTCAAAAACATTCTTTTCCATCGTAATACTTTAAAATTGATGTCAAAGAATAAGTGGAGTGGAAAGATAACGGTAATTATTTTATTGCGAAACGACATATTCCTTTACGCTCACGACTAACCACCTGAGTGATATCGCACAACGCTTTTTACAGCAAACGCTTCCTATTTCTGATAATTGTGTTAGAATTATACATCTCTGAGTCAAATATCTACAATATAACCTTGTCTATTTAGTGTTACAGTGAACTAGCCGATAAAATTCATAAGGTCTTTTTTTTTACACAATTATTATTGTTACTGTTTTACTAAGGAAATGATCTAAGTTAATTCACCATAAAACTATAAAACCTGTCGGACATTTTGTATAGATTATGGTCAGTATGGAATTGTACAGTTTATTATACAGTGTTCTATTAAATACTATATACAGCATAAATTATCATCGGTTAACCATTTGTGCACGGTCATTATACACTAACTATTTTTCTCAGCTTGTTTGGTACGGTCAGTGCATATATGTACGTACACCCTGACCTGTGTATTATATTGCGACAATTTAATCGGTAACGGAATTAATCCGTACTGTATTTCACAATGAAAATAGTCATTAACCTAGAGAATTTCTTTACTTTTGACACCCGAGCCTACAATGAAAAGTATACCTGTACCATATACAGGCGGTTGGCAAAATACTTTTAATTTTATCACAACGACACTCAGCTATGGGTATAGGACAGCTTTAGTCGGATATTTTCTAAGGTAAGTCTACACTTTGTCTGTGATATGAAAAATAAGATTGGTTTTGATAGATAATCCAAATTTGATCATGCTAAATAAATTATTATTTAATTCACTTTTTTGGATACTGACTATATTTCTTACAGTTATTACGTGATTGCTGTGAAATTAAATCCGGGCATTTCAGCGATAGAGAGTTTACATTTGGCCTCTGCCTTTATACAGACCAAACTTGAGCTTTATAACAAGGATACTTGTCCGATATATATCTTCCCTGTTTTAATGGTTTTCGAAGCAAATAATGGTGATGGGAAAGTACCCAATAACGGGTCTCATTACACCTTGACAGCTGTACCTTTCATGGAACAGTAATAATGATAATAACATACAATATTTTTATAGCGCTCTATACTGTTAAAAGGTCAACTCTAAAGCGTTTTACATGTCATGTTTTTTAAACTTATTTCTACTATGAAAATAAACGAAATACATCACATATTCATCTATGGTAATACAAATAAGTATTGGGTAAATTTCGGAAGAGTCAAATACTAGCGCAAAATAATTAAAACACAGTAAAAACACTATTTACACATCAAAAGCACGTTTGAAGAAATGTGTTTTCATTCTGGATTTGAATACTGTGAGTGACAAGGTATATCATTCCACACTAGACTGTGATCTCAGTGTCCTTGCTGGAACATTTGGGACAATCAGTTCTTTCAAGTAGTCAGGAAAGGGTCCAAACTTCCTTCTGGGGCACAGAATACGATGATTACTTTCTCAGTGAATTTACCAAGTTCTGTGACAATTCCCAGAAGAAAACACTAAAAATATCAACATAAAACAGCCAAATTCCTTGCGAGCTTTGTAGGAGCAGCTGTACAAGCGCTAACCACTACTCACTTCTCTACTGAGAACTGGTTCACTCAGGATTTAATCAATTTTACAATGATCTTTACGTCTGAGGACAATTCCATTAAACCCATATTTACACCTAGTTTATCTAGTCCCGTCAAAAAATGGCCTTGACCTTATGATGGTGTCCTCTGTCGTCATTACGTCTTTTGATCCTAATCAGTTTCCAACTAATTTACTATTAATCGTACGGATAAATTAAACAGCATCTTGGTATGTAGTTGAATTATTGTTAAAAGATACCATACAGGCAATGTTCTAATTTTCAAATTTCAGCAAACTCTTTTTTTCCCAAAGCAATACCCATTTAAAGTCGAAGTTATTTTATAGACAAAGGTATGACGAAAAGTGGATATTAAGACCGAGCGATAGTGAAAATGTGATAAGTCCGCAGTAACGAGAAATCACGCAGTCACTGCGAACTTCAAACAAACATATAATTGTTTTCTGTGCAATTTACCGTTGCCCGTGTATTTCTCGGTACTATGGAACTCCTAGCCCAGGATTGATATAGATTATTCCGCATTCATCACCTATAAAGGTGAACATGTTTTTTTTGTTGAAATTCTGCTAAGTACGATTTGGAGGATATTATGGACTTCAACACAAGGTATTCGGAGAGGATCGGATAAAATTGAAAGTATGAAACCTGGTTAATTGGATAACTCAAGCCAAGTGTCAGAAAAGGAAACACTGTGCCAATTTGTTCCCGTTTAAAAGAAACAGTAATTGGTATATTCTGAGTGAAATAGGTTAAGATGCATGTACAGCCTGCTACAGCCATTATTTTATCTATATAATAGATTTATTCATTACTAGATTATTAATTTAGCAATGTTATATATACACGTAGATTCATATCATTGTCATTATGGAATGAATTATTTTGACATATTTCACACATTAAATAATTTCTTTGTCAAGAGCATGTAAGACATCCACCTTTTCTGTGCAGGAACTCAGAAAGCAAGTGTTTTATTATCATCACTTTCCCACTGTGAGAGGTGTGAAGCTTGCAGTAAAATATATATCTGTATTACACGCTAAGATTACCTCTTATGTAATAATTCCATTGCGACCATTTACTAACCTATACACACTCACTCATACACACAAAGTATATTATACCGACAACAATGAAAGGTGGTGTATGGAGGCCATCAAGGTGAAAATTTCTCCCTCATTATTTCTGGTGCTACATTTGAGCGATAAATGCCGTGTTACTCGAAACTCGAGTAATAATCTGAACTGAGAGAACACCTTTACAGTGTGGTTGGACCTTTCAGATTAATTCTAATACTAATCTAAACAGGATTAATTTGAATCTATTGTAGACCTCTTGTGTTTAACTGTTAAAGATTTACAAAGCATTTCTTTAAGCTAATTTGTACAATACAGCTATGGCCACGACTCGTCTACAGTATGCACCATAGGACTTTCGTTACCTCCGATGAAATTGAGCGTCCAGACCTAAGATGGACCAAGTCTCATACTGTCCGTGTTAAGTACTTTAACAATAACATAGACTTGTTCATGATAAAATATTCATATTCTTTACAACATTTTGACATTCCCGCATGATCGCAATCACCGTCCTGAGAGTTGTAGTCTATCACTATTATCATCGAATTTGAATAAAAAGACTTTTCTTTTACAAAGATGATTCATTCGAAATCGCAAAAGTCTTACTACAGCGCGAGCGTCCAAAATTTCATTCTACAAGAAATGTTATAGTATGTGTAGTTTCTACTCTTGTAAGTTATTTATTGAATTTTATATTGACTTTGCTTTAGGTCAGTTCTTAGGTTAGATTCCTAGGTTTCATTGTGCTTGGTCCCTTTCTGGAAAGACAAAGATTATATTCCTTTACTGTTTGACTATGCTGTTTTCTTATTTTAATTTGAATATGTTGTTCTCTTCAGTCGTTTGTAAATATTAGGTATAATTTGATCTGTCTACATCATTATCCCTATTCAGAAGAAATGGATGACCTTCCGGAGTGCATGCGCAAACGACCCAGACGTCAATCTCTGTATCAGGGTGAGGCTAGGGAGGTGTCAACTGATGGCGATTACTCTACTCTTAGGGAATCAAGATTGGTGAGGATCATTTTTATAAATTATTTTTTAAGTTCCTTTGTGAATTACAGACGAAATACCAACTTTACAAAATGTCAGATATTTCTAGCATAATGTATACGTTATACTCCCAGAAAATTATTTTTGCAGAAATATTCTGCAGTTTTGAGACACCATTGTTTGAAACTGAACCCTCAATCTTCATTTGAAGATGATTACATTGTGTTTAATAAACAGAGAAAATGTGTACATTTTTTTTAGATCGCTTTTGATATAAATCCTTGGTATAACAGATGTATCGTTTAGTACGGTAATTAATGATTTTAAGTAATATATCAGATCCATATCAAATACTCAGAGTTGATACATATTAAAAGATTGAGCATTACTGAATTTACAGGTCTGGTTCAATTCTTTGTTATATTTTTACGGTATTGTTTGCCATCCTCGATACTCCAGGGGTTACAGTCACTTCCACTCTCAGCACCCCTGGAACATGTCATTAGACAAAATTGAAGGTAGCATGTGCAACACCTTGTGGACTAAACGAAAAGACTGGTTTGATCCTTTTTTGAGGTATATCAAACGAATCTCAAGGTCGTATAAAGACATATTGTAATGGTTTTGAAAGTTGTGTGTCGCTCCTTTAAAATCTTCAAAATGAGCGTATCAGTCTGTGATTGTTTTTTTCCTAGAACCAATGAAATTACTAGTGCTTTCAATTTTTGCCATGGCATGCTCTAGGGGTAGAGAGAGCGAAAGTGATCGTAACCTTGGAGTGTCGAGAATAATGTCTTGCATAATAGATATATCTTTATAAGCAAGTTATTATGAGATATTTCTGCGCATATCATGCCATCGCTTTTGATTGTTTGCAGAAAAGAGCGAAACTTAAACCCCTTGACGATGTAGAAGATGACGATGACGACGACGACGAAAATCCAGTTGTCAGTTCATTTGATCATGTCCAATCTTCACCGGATGATGACGAATACGCAAAAAATCTGTTTCGAACGATTGAAAATGGAAATATTTCTGAAATATTGGAATTAATTAATCAAGCTGATCTCTATTTATTTACATGCGTCACTTCCGTTGGGATTATGAAAGATATGAACGTACTGCATTGCGCATTGCATCATAAAAGATTCGATGTCGCCAAAATACTTATCGAGAAAGCTGGGGCGGTCCTTGCCAGTCAAACGTTTTCTCTGCCTGGATCCACTTGCACGGCTTTGCACCAAATCACAGAGAACAACGCTATTGACTTGGCTAAATTGATACTTAAAGCTAAATCAAAGGAAGAACAGCACCGTATGATAAAGGAAGAGCAAGTAAAAGAAATCCAAAATCAGAGGTCAAGGTCGTTTTCATGTTTTCATCTCGCTGCTTTTTATGGTTACACAGAACTTGTTCGTTTGTATCTCAGTACGGGTATAGACGTGAATATGCTAAATAGTAAGAATGATTCAGCAATATTATGGGCGTCAAGATGGGGGCATGACGATACAGTTTCTCTCCTTCTGGATAACAATGCAGATGCAAACATTGAGAACGACAAGAAATCGACAGCTCTCCATTGGGCAGTTCGTTACCAACAGTCATCCACAGTCAAATTATTACTGAAGAAAGGAAACGTTAATCCGAATCATATCCGCTCAATGGGATTGGTTGCGCCCCTTGTTCTCTCTTCGGCTATTGGAAACAACAGAATAGTTAAAACACTATTATCGCAAGGCGCTGACGTGAATATCGTGATTCGCGGAGGAGAATGCGCCCTACACCACGCGGCCAAAGAGGGTCATATCAAAGTCGTGAAAACTCTTCTTAGATATGGAGCCAATATTAACAAACAAGACGAGAAGGGCGACATGGCAATCAACCTAGCCTCCCAAAAAGGGCACGCTGATATCGTTAACATACTTCTCACGAAGGGCGCCAATATGTTCCACAATAACGATGTTGGAGAGGACTGTTGGGACAATGCAATACAACAAGAAGCTAATGGCGTCCTTCAAGTACTTGCCAAGCATTACAAGGCTGCGAAAAGTAACATGGATTTATCTTGTGTTCCGCCAATATGCGTTGCTGCCCGTTTAGGTCGGAACCGGAAAATCAAGGCGCTCCTTCAAATGAAGTTAGATCCTGAAGAAGTAGATTTTGATGGAAACACATGTCTTCACTACGCCGCTATGTACAACAGAGCTGAGGTTATACGCGAATTCGGCAATGAACTAGATGTAGACAAGCAAAACAAAAAGAAGGAAACGGCTCTACACATAGCATGTGTAAAGGGAACCCAAGAAGCAGCATTTGCTCTAATGGATATGAAAGCGAAGGCTAACATTAGAAATTTGTTAGGAGAAACAGCACTGCATGTGGTCGGTTATTCTAGTAACTCTACCCCAAAAATTGCACGAGCGGTTTTGTCACACACCATCAAAATACATGATTGGGTTAGTGTAAATTGCACAGATGACGCAGGCAACAACGCTCTTCATTTGGCAGGGAAATTCGCAAGTCCTGATGTTTTATGGGAGTTTCGATTTGTACGTTTTAAAGACACTGACATTGATGGCAACACTCCACTGCATGAGGCCGTGCGACCCGGATGCGAAGAAGCTTTACACACTGCTCTGGATATTTACGAGAGTATGCAGAGAGATGCCGATATCAACCACCATAACAATAAAGGCGAGACCGTCCTTCATCTGGCAGCATCTGCTGGTTTCTCAGATTGCGTAACGAGACTAATTTTTTATGGAGCTGATCTTACACGCAAGGACAATCGCGGTAACACTGTCTTGCATCGATTAGTCAGAGCAATAGTTGAAGATAGTAGCAATACTGCGCTTTACATGAATGTTGTCGATACCATTTTGCAAGAAGCTGCACGATGGTCTTGCAATGTAAATAATGAAAGATTTCCAAGTGAAAACAAAACTTACTTTCAGCAAGTTCAGCGAAAAGCTATCCTTGCGCTAGTTAATGACTTCAAGAACGACAGCATGCTTTCTGTTCTTGGTTTCGCATCCAAGAGAGGTTGTGATGTTTTCCTGAAACGGATAGTGACCATGCCAGAGGTCATGTATTTTGAAAGAAATGGAACTGTTTATTATGACATAACACATTTGACGCCTATGACCAATGGATCAAACAAAAGATGTTGCGGTGAAGCAAGAGTTCAACATTCTGTTTCTCTTATTGAATTACTAGTCACCACTGATGCTACCCACCACGCCTCAAAAGTGTTGAACTTACCACCTTTCAGAAAAATCGAAATGATGTACACATCGACTGTAGCATGGGCTTACGCTTTCCTTATGTTTCTACATGTCGCGTACATGAGTGCATTCACTTTCCTTGGCATTCAGATGTCTGCCCAATTTCGAAGTTTGAGAAATGGCACATCTATCGAAAACACGGATTCGCTCTTGATTGCTACTTACGTGATTGTACCTTTAGAACCGTTGATATTTCTGATAAATTGCATTATAGTGTTGGCGGTCATGGTTTGTAGAAGGAAAATTTCGTCATCCGAGTCATTCACTATACTTGCGGTAAACCTCACATTTGCCATTTTGACTCTCACTTGGCTGCTTCTAGTTGGCATGCGTGAGGCGTATCATGATTACGTTCTCTCCGTTAGTCTGTGCATAGGATGGCTCTATTCGATCTCGTTTACTCGTGGATTCAAACAGATCCATTATTTCTGGAAAATGCTCCTAAGCATGCTAACGAGAGACGTACTTCGGTTCATACTTGTTTTCTTATTTGTTTTGATGGCTTTTAGCTTTGCATTCCACGTTCTTTTCCAAGTCTCTACAGAAATTGTTGATATGTATACGTACCCATTTGACACTATGTTTCTCGTGTTTAACACGATGGTAGGGATGTCGGATATTTTCACTGATCCTTTTGATGCTGCGCTGATATCTTTAGGACGAACATCAACTTTCCCAAAGATCATGTACGTTGTATACATTGTGTTTTCAACAATCATCCTCCTGAACCTGCTGATTGCCATGATGAACGATTCCTATTCAAACATTTTAGATAATCAGCAGGTCTTGTGGCGTGTTGATTCAATTAAAATAGGCATCAGTGTCGAAAACCTACTGCCACAATTTCCTAAATACTTTGGAAAAGTAAACATCCGCCATTGTAAAATAACAGGATATAACGACCCTGTAGGTGAGAGATGGTATCTGATCATGTCAAAGGAAGAAATCAAACTTCTCTGTGAGGGATATTCTACATCTCGTGAAACACATCCACTCGGAGGTGTACTTGAAGAACAATATCATCGCATGGAAAAACGTGTTGACAAGATTGAAAAAGTTACGACGGAAAATTTCGCAAAAATGTTTGCTTTACTGGACAAAATGTCTAAAGAAATCGGAGATCAATAAGAGATTACATAATTCTAATGGTTTAATACTCGATTATCTTATGAATTATACCTAGAACCGTGATTACACCTTGAAATCTTGGTCTATTATCCAGTACTACCTTATCTGTTATACTTGACCAGATGACCTTTTCCATTTGACCACATGTATACATTTGAATACCTTATCTATTACCAGTAAACTAACACTGTCAGGCATATTGCTTGCTCTGATCTGCTTTGTCTTTTACCTTCAGTTACCTGTCTCTTGTCTGACTAGTAATCCTACACTGTACGTTATATTCAATCACTTAATGAATAATTACATGTTTCTTTTGTGTCTCAACGCCATTAATAAGAAAATATCACCAATGCATCAACATTTCTACGGTTTGAATACGGTAATGAATACAATGGTAGAGATTATGAAGGAAGTAGGCATTCTATCAAAGTGCACGTGTGGAGCGAACTTGCCAATTTAATAAGATTAAAATAACGTCATCTACAATAATTCGCGACTTTCTTTCTGCTCAGATTTCTGGCGGAAAGGGGGTCAAAGAAAATTAGCAGTATGCTATGAGGAATAATGTAGAGATACATGGTACATGCATGAGTTTTGTTTTGTTTTTTGTTTTGTTTTGTTTTGTTTTTTTTTGTTTTGTTTTTTGTTTTTTGAGTGCTTGTGTTTAATCTTCAATTCCATTTAGTTGCACAATATATGAAAACAATACTTACACGTGTCTTATATAGGCACATGGATATCAGAATGCCTAACTGAAGAAGCTTTTCCCTTGACAGATTTTACAAAGATAAACAACTTTGAGTTCAAAATGCCATTTGAATTGTGCATATCACCTACGTCCGTTCAGGAAGCTGCAAAGCATCATGGGATAAGACGTACTGTGGTAATATAAACATGATAGTCCTTTCAGAGATTCAGACACACGTAGTTCATAAGTAGCGATTGCTACGTTAGTGTCGCATTGTTTTAACGTCTTCATGAAGATATTATCCAGGATCTACTTGTCAGTTGTCACTGTAGCGGATGGATATGTTCCACAGCGTTATAACAGACAATGGAATCATCCTGCAGGTAGTAAAGTTTCCTTATTAGTATACATATATAACTACTGTTAAAATCAGGAAGACATGCTTTAAAATTCGGCTAAATAACCTAATCCACCTATTTGAAGATGACCTACTTTCCTTATCAGCACAAGATTGTTCTAAATTTATCATCTTTACATTTGTTTAAGAAATGAAATGTCATTTATATATATATGTAGATCCAAGGTTCGTTCCCAAATAACTGAGGATATTCTTTATTGATAAAAATTTTAAAATATGGTGTATAATGTAAGTTTAATATATGGATTTCTTTCTAAATTTGCCAGTCTGATATTTGTTTAACGTGCCATCAAGGTAACGTTGTTTGTTGAGAAGTGATAAGAAGTACTTGTGGACTGTTAAGGTAGTTAGATATATTCATAGCGTGTCTCTCCTATTTTATCATACGTCGTTGCTAGATTTTACAATTTCAAGTCACTTAACAGTTACATAAAGTTTGCATTTTAGTTTTGGTTTTGTTTCTAAATAAGGCGAAAGTGCAAAAAGGTCTCTCGGTGCATGTCCCCGTCTTAATAGCAGTCTTTCTTTTCTTCAAAATAAACGATTTATCATTTATACTATAATTTAAAGACATATACATGTAAAATAAAACTTATTTCAGGCACGTACAATTCATTACATTACATGTTCCTCTCTAATTTAGTGTTTAATTAAGTCTACTTATATACAAATGGCCTCTTATAAGATAAATGCGTAGGGCTCTGTGTACCGTCTGCAATTTAATTCCTTATAAAAAGACGATACGAGAAGAAATAACATGAACATGTATATAAATTATTTACATTTCCTGTCATTCCTGTCTACTGTAGGATGTTCCGCACTGTATATTACCAAATATTGTGTATGAGTTGTGCATGCCTAACAACATTTATCAACACAGTTTTGGTAAATAATATAGAAAAGTTTCTCATTATTTTAAAACTTCTATTGCCATAAATGAAGCCTGCTGTTTCACAGTGTAAAACTAGAAGTCTCCCTGTCGATAGTAATTCCTTGGTTTTCTGATCTATTCAGTTCCTACAAACTGAATCTTTATTGATATAATCATACAGCTGGGGGGAAATATATAGCCCACTTAACCCTTTAACTCCCAACAAAGCTTTTCTACGCATTGTGACGTCAGTACTGGGTAAACAGTCATATCTCCCTTATTTGTTGAGGTGTTTATCTACTGATTATATCTCATAAATTTGGAGGAAATGCTGAATGCCTTTTGTTCGTAGTAAATTTTGTTTCGGTAAATATTTCTTATGCTTTTTGCGAGTTGAAAATACAAGAAATTTTTTTCCGAACATCTTTGATTGATGACATCGTGTGCACGATGAACGTAAATATCTATTCGCGGTCCGGTTTGTATTCCATATATATGTTCATAAAGAACGAAATATTTCACTCGAATTTCGATACATGAATACCTAACATCCAACTTCTTATGCATGTACATCGTGCGTCTGTCTTGATGTAGAAGCGGTTGAAATTAACTTTCTGTAAACATGCCTTAATTTACGATCGTTGCCTTGAGATGACACATTTACATTATAATGTCCTATTCAGACTACACAGCGAGCCCCCGTATGATTATACACCTGCATTCTACCTGAGATATGACGTCAGAAAAGCATGCAGCACTTTTTTGCGGTATCGCAATATACATGTAAGCGCACCTACTTAATGTGTTCTATACACATTTGTTTATCGTGACGGCTTCCTGAAGTTTGTGTAATATCGACTTGTGGGATCAACTTTTTTTCGCGAATTCAGCGAGCGCTTTATGGTATTGTGTGTTGTAATCTTAAACCAACAAGCTTCAGCTGTCGATCATACATTTTTTTCATTAAATAAACAAGCATCCAATTTTGTACATATCAGTAATAACAACAAGTTGACTTTACTTATTATTTTATTTAACAGGTTTAACATCCGCTATTACGACCTTTCAACATTTCAGGAGATGAGATAAATTTGACAGTCAGGTTATTATGCATATAAAACAATGTCTGTATTCAACTTATACAAGTTGATAAACATTTATTCATTAATATATGTGTTCCATCCTTGTTTATTGTAAAGTCCGAACTTGTAGTAAAGAGGAGACGCCTACAAATAAATTTGTGAACGAACGGAACAAATTGGAAATATCAATAAAAAATAACCGAATAACGCGTCCTATTTCTGTAAATAGTTATATATATTTTACATACAATCTGCAGTGATAAAATCCGATATATTTCATAAAGTTGTACTTTTCATTACATCAGATTCCAGTCTCGGACATAATCGTTGTGCACAAGACGGCGATGACACCACGGAGATAGATCGAATTCCGTGGTCACACATTGGTATATGTGGATATGTCGTCATGTGTCTTGTTAAAATCTTGCATAATTTCGGCTAATAAAAAACACGCTTCAGTGAAGCCATGAATCATGCAGTTCAAAATGTTGATCAACTTGCGTTCACTTTCGGCAGTGCCGATTTCATGTTAATTTGTTTCGATATCCACACAAAGTTTATGTTAACTGATATACCACCCAGCATGGTATGTTGATATCGTCGTGTTTTCTCACATCAGTGCTTTTGCTAAAAACAACTGGCGACAAGAATATTATGTAAGAGTGAGTTATACTAAGTTTAACAAGAGGCCTACATCACTAAAGTCACGGTTAATATCTCACCATAGTTACATAAACATATTGTGTTGAAAATCTGACATTTTCTCACATCAAAGCATTTGGCAATAGCAAACGCCAACATCAACCATTGTGTTTATAAACATTAAGTTTAATGACAGGCCAAATCTCTCCGTGGTCGCTTAAACATCTTCGTCATCCATGCAGACTACCAGTACATGTATTTCTATTCTCTTTTTGTATTTTAAGTAGTGAACATCCAGCGCAGTCGGTCTTCCTAGTTTTCGTCATTATGAAATACTACAGGCAGTTCGCTTTGGAAACCTGACAAAATTGCAGTTAGTAATATCTGAGATCTCTATATTTTGATCTAACACCCATACTAGAGTAGACCATCTTTGTACTTGCTTAGCCCATATTTTGATCACAGACAATTGGTCCCATTTCATTCATACTTAGACAAATACCAATATGTGATGTTGAGTGGGTGAGGCTATTTATGTGTGACACCTAATACTATGCAGTGGCTATCTGTATTTGTCGATACAGGTAGAGTCTTCCTTAAGCCATATACATTTTACGTGTGAAAACAAAATAATGTAAAAAATATATGTAATGTGTATTATGAAACGTAATATTATTGGATGTGTTTCATATCAGGTATATCTGTACTGAGCTATTTTATTCACTTAAAACAATTAATCAAGAACAAATTATTCATAGTATCTAGTATAATATATATAGTAACAGATAAAACAGGTAAAAACACAGGTAAAGCAACTATAATAACTATAATAGTGAAATATATGGTTGGCAGGAAAGGACTATTTATTTTGCTATTGTCTTCCTATAACAATGTCATTCTTTGTCATATAAAAAGTTGCTGCAAATAGGGAGCCTCACATCCTGCTGTGATCCCTGCACTGGGGGCCAAATGCTTAATCTGACAACACCAATTTGAGAGTCTTTGCAAAGCTCACACCTTCATGGTTCATAACAGGTACCAGGCCGGGGTGGGTAGGGGAGAGGGCACTCATTTGCTTTGTTTTATCAGTTCCTTGTTACATCTTACTGTGTACTCCTGCCCGTCTGTGATGACCATATCTCTGCTCTAAAGGCTACTCCACCTAATGATGGGGGATCACAATCATTGCATATTGATATGTTTCAATAATTAAGCTTGTTGAAATTCAGTGTTTAGATATCTAATTCGAACATATATCATAACATATACTACCAGAAACATGTACACAAATAAGCGTTGATATAGTATCCATAATGAATATACATTATACGGTATCCTTTCTTACTCCTATATTCAACAATATTCCCACTATCTTACTTATGTAAAATATGACCTATTTTAAGACCATTCGTCGCACTGGCAAACACAGGGGTGAGCGATGTAGTGCATGGTGTTAACGACAGTGCACTAGAGTTAACACTAGTGCACTGTAGTTTATACCGTGGTGTATCAACAACAGTGAGTTGAAGTTTCAGACAAGATTATATAAATACTTTCTATAGGAATTTGTTACAGGTTGCTACTGGCAGAATTTTACTGAGTCATCTTTATTGAGAAAGTACATTTTTTTTAAAAATGGCATAATTAAATCTTAAGCCCTTGAAAGTAGCTCAAGGTCTCATTTATATCATAGCATTTGATAGCCAATCATCTGAACATAATTCATTCTAAAATATCTAGCCTCTAGGCATGGTAGAAGTTTTTTTTTCAAATAAATTTGTTTCAGTAAGTTTTCGATTCAAACGTTGACCCTTAACGATAACCAAAAGTTGACATTTTACAAAAAAATTTCCTAAAAATGTTATTTATTTGTTATTTTACCTGATATATCCAGAGATTAATTCAGTAGTGTAATAGGAGCCGGTAAGTATGGTTTCTATATAGTTTTAGATATGGTCTTTGTCACTCAGCTGACAGAATATGCTTTTTCGGCTCAGTTGGTAGAGCTGGTCGATTATCACGTCAGAGACCCAGTTCGATTTCTGGTCGGGGCACTCCACAGGAATGTGCATTTTCCCTGTTCTTTCACATGTGTCATACAGACAGGCTGACTTATCAACGAATCACAATAAAAGCCGAGTTTGAATCCTATTCATAGCATATATAACTAACCACAATGTCGCCAACTCATATTTATCTTTCATTGGGTAACAGACAGACAATCTCGTCAACAACTTAAATACATATAGAGTAAACACATTGAAAAATTGATTTCACATTTTACATTTTGGCCCCGCCCATCAGGCCCCTGGTGGATGGGGACCATATGCTTTACAATTGTGGTATTTCGTTAACACTGGAAGGTTTTTGTAAAAAAAATCATTGAAATCGATCCGGGAGCTTTCCAGAAAAAGTTGAAAACATTAAAAGTTTATGACGCACGACAAAAAAGGATCACAATAGGACACCCTGAGACTTTGTTTCAAATGACCTAAAAGTACAGCAGTGATTAAGCACATTTCATCGGTACATGAGAATCCATGGATATGAATGAAGCTACTCGATATTGAATTGTAGGAATATATGGGCATATACAAAACGTACGGAGGAATGTACGGACAAACACCATAGTAACAAATGATTATATAGACATAGACACAGACACACAGGAATGTAAGGACAAACACCATAGTAACAAAGGATTATATAGACATAGACACAGACACACATAGTAACAAATGATTATATAGACATAGACACAGACTCACAGGAATGAATGGACAAATACCATAGTAACAAATGATTATATAGACATAGACACAGACACACAGGAATGTAAGGACAAACACCATAGTAACAAATGATTATATAGACATAGACACAGACTCACAGGAATGTATGGACATATACTAAAGTAACAATTGATTATATAGACATAGACACAGACTCACAGGAATACATGTGAATGTATGGACAAATACCAAAGGAATACATGGATGTATGGACAAATACTGCAAACACCAATATTGCTTCAAACATATTTATAATGTAAAGTAAATTCTGTCATAAATTACAGATACGTTTATATGCATAGTGTTCTTCGATGTTAAGTTGTATAATGTATATATGCAAATACACGTTCAGACATTGCAATTTGAGTGCTGTGTCCCGTTACCCTATCTGTTGTGTTTATTTCATATCACGCCATCAAAACTATATACTTATTGATACATGAGACAATGAACAATAATAGCTCTCTAACCATATAGATTCAAAATTTAGGCCCTTAGCATCACTAGCGAGTCCAACAAGAGAAAACTGTCCCGAACATGTATGATGCAGTTTAATACAGTATTTAGCCTTCCTGTATCTAATACTAAATTTGGGTTAAAAACTACTATTCTCTTGTTTGCCTTTTGTCCAATCATGACAAAAAGAGATGGTTTGAAACAGAGAGTGTGGCTAGAGCAATACACCATGGCCTCTGTAGAACATGCTAAGTATTCACGGACATACAAGTAAAAAGTCGATAGGTCTAGTTAAGATTTGCTATCTTTGTATATACATGTTAATGCGTTGAAATTCTTCATATGTACTCTTTCCAGATGGCTTGATGATCTGAGTTTTGCAGGTCGCTGTAAGAAATGTTGGCTTATATTCTGTACTTAAACCTATACTTGTTCTGATATCAGTAATAATTAGGTAGATACGTGGAAATACAGATGATGGATTTCATGTGATGTAGACAAGTTGGGCATTGATAATCCGAAACAATGTGAAGATATGTTTAATCTTTAACTTGACTTATTGATCTATTGTATGCTCTTTCTTTTCATTCCGTAAGAGAAACTTATGGTATCTACAACATCTGAGAAAAGTAAAAAAAAAAGTACTGACTCTATAAACTTCTTTTATTAAAATGGCAAACAATAGGTAAGTAATCTGAAATCAAATATCCGACTTATCTATTTACTGTAACGGAGTGTTAATCAATATGTATATTCCTTACCACATTACGTATCTATAAATTTCTGTGAAAATATATATAAAATTAGAAAACAATAAAAGCGAGAACTGGATATGTTTTAAGTCATTGTTTCTGTCATCTTTTTCCATTCTGCACTTTACTCCTTTATGGTATTTTAAAAATATATGTTGGTATCTGATTATTATATTTTATTTTTGTAGGTCCGAAAACTATCTTCTTCTGGGCTCCATTGTTCAAATGGGTAAGTTTGGACGTTTAGTGAATAAAATAGAAACCATTAAACTTTTGAAGAGTTATCTCCCTTCCGCCTTTCCCATAGTAGAGCACGGTTTGTAATGACACCATGATTGATAGACTAAATATTTAAAACAACATTAAGAAGATAATATGATTTCCATTTTTATTTTAGTGGCAGAGAGATTAGTGTTAAGTACAGCTTGATTGCTTAAGCTTCGATTTAATGGATCTATTTATACAACTTAACAAGAGAATAGCTTCGTAAAGGAAGGATAGGCCGTATTATTAGGTCCACGACATAAATCAGGCACATCAAAATGTTACAATTATGAAATGCATTTCAACACGGGTTTTAAACAATATTAATTTCAAATAGAACATGTTCACTGTACGTTGTGTTGTCTGAATCGTGATTTAAAGAAAAATTCATACATATATAGTTACATCTCAAAACAGAAAACGGGTGTCAGTTTATTGACGTTTCATGACCAGGTACACACAAAACGTGAATGTCTTCAGTAATATAATTCAATTAATGACATACTTAGAGCGCTATGTAAATGTTTCCATATTTGGTTTATAATATGGGACTCTATTGATAATGGTTAACCATAACGCTTACTGTACAAAACAACTTCTTGCGTGATGTCCATCCTAATTGTATATCTATCTTAAGACATTATGCAGGTGTGTATAATAGTGACGTCAACGTCCTTGACTGGTTGTAATCTACCTTCACTGGTAAAGATATTTGAAAAGAACATATTATTTCTATTTTTATTTAATCATCCTTGTGTGATGTGAATATAAATGTGTTACAAATAGAGAGACCTAGGCTTACCGTAACTATACTTAAAGTACTACGATTTATAATCCCAAGGTTGCCGTAACCTGCATGGCACGTTTTAATTCAATCATCTGATTACAAGGTTGATATTATCACCATGTACTTGACGTTCTGCTGAAATCACTGAATATATGAAAATGGCAAAATTCATTGAATTAATGGAGCTAGCGGACCTTGTTATCTAGATTTCGACATTTTACTGTATAACTCGAAACTTACATCAAAAGCTGTTAGTCTTTTGTACTAAAATCGACTTCAATATGACAGATTATATCGACCAAGAGATGACAAAATCCAAGAATATGTTGACTTAAAGATGAAAAGGTTCAAGAAAATATCGACGTAAAGATGACAAGGTACAAGAAAATATCGACTAAGAAATGACAAAATACAAGAACATTTCGACTTAAAGATGGTAAGATACAAGAATATATCGACTGAGAGATGACAAAATCCAAGAACATTTCGACTTAAAGATGGTAAGATACAAGAATATATCGACTGAGAGATGACAAAATCCAAGAATATGTCAACTTAAAGATGACAAGGTACAAGAATATATCGACTTAAAATGACAAGGTACAGTAATATATCGACTAAGAGCGATGACGAAAAGAAATAACACCTTTACTAAATAGTGACAAAATGCAGTAATACATCGAATAAATGGTGACAAAATATCAATATATATCGATAAAAGGTTAACCGTGATCATATTGACAACACGACTTTATACACATCGACTAGTGCTTGGTAATGACATGATGTACAATTAATTAAGTGACGACATTAATAATTATTGACACGAATTATAATGAGATGTTTCCCTCTGGCAAAATGACAAATGCTACAAAAAATGTTGTTTACGGATGAAAGGGTTTATTTCTATATTGAAATATCTGCCATTAATTTTCTATCATCTAGGAATAAAATCTAAGTGCCCATCCTTAACAGTTTTTGTAGTGATACTTGGGCACTTTATGATATAATGTTTGTAAAGTTTGTTTTGTGTTGACCTTAACAGGTTCTTGTGATTGCCGGTCTCGGCGATATAACCCGTCCCGCGGAAAAGCTCAGTCTCGTGCAGTCTACAGCTCTCCTTAGTGGTGGGTACGCGTTTAAACCTTCATAGTAACCCAACTTCTTCATCTGATTAATTAATGTTCACCTTAAATAGTGTTTATTAATGCATAACCTGTAAACATATCTATAAATCATATGATAATGTCCTGCCGTATGTGAATTGTATTTCATTGGGGATGTGATTATGCCTGATATGTACATTAAAGGTGATATGTATGTACATATTTGAGACTAATGTATCTAATTCTCAAGTGATGTTTTAAATCTTTGTACATCAGTTAGTCATATTTATTGTAGAAGTAGTACTCACCGAGTAGAAGAATATTTACACTAGCATTTAAGCGAATTCTTACTGAGGACATGGCTAACACATTCGGAGTATGATTATATTTGATTTTACTGAGGGCATGGCTAACACATTCGTAGTACGATTATATTTTAATTTACTGAGGGCATGGCTTAAACATTCGGAGTACGATTATATTTAAAATAAAAACCGCTTTGTTTTGTGTTTATTGATAGCACAGAAGTTACATTAGCAAAATATGTTTATGTATTTGAGAAAATATTGATAACATTTATCATGGAAGTTTGAGCATGAAAATGAAGATATCATAAATGTTGATTTCGAATATTTACCAAGATAACGTGTTTTCGTTGCCTCCAACTAACAGCCCTGAAAATATACCTTGTAATAGACACAAAATATACAAACTTAATATATATCGATACCATAGGTATTTCACATACATTATCGTCTGTTTTATTTGTTATATTTCAGGCTATATATGGGCAAGGTATTCTCTTATCATTATACCACGGAATGTCAACCTGTGTCTGGTGAACCTATTCGTTGGCTTGGTTGGGTCTGTACAGTTAACCCGGATATATTTGTAAGTGGTCCACATCTCGGAAAAAAAATCATATTCATGTTTGCTTCACTAGTTTTCATTTTTCTGAAGACTTACCACATGGAAATAACAACGCACAGTAGTGCTGATTTGGAATCTTGTAATTGTGAAAATGTTGACATGTTGGCGGACAATATAAAGGTCAGTTTACTCGAGAGCTTCGCCCAAGGACAATATAGCACATGAAGATAAAATAAACTTTGATATTTTCCAGGCTCAGGGCCTTCAGTTGTTTATCATTTGGACAAATTCAAGCTAAGATTTTGTTTAGTTTTTCTTGATTAGTTTGGTGATGTTTTGTTTGTTTGTTTCCTATTTTGTTCTTTGTGCTTTTGTTTGTTTTTTTTTAATTTTCCCTCGTGATTTCTTTATATTGTAACAAAAGACGTTAACTTTTGTAAAATCGTCCCGATTGTTTGTTCCTTATCTGGATTTAGTTTTTAAAATTATGAATTTTAAATGTCTATTTACAGATACAGAAAATCACTTGAAACACCCGATCCCAAAAAGCAGGAATAACAGGTTAGCGAGCGTAACTAATCACCGTTTGCAACAGGATGTCAGTGTCGATTGCTCGGGACACAGAAGTGGAAGAGAATAGTTTTACAATAGTTATCGTGACTGATCATAAAAGGAGAAGACCATATACTACTCTTCAACAGATGTATCGCTTCAAATGGCATCTTAGTAATAGATGACTTGAAATGTCACCTTGAGTTTTAGAGAAGACAGTTACATGAGCATTGTATACGTTGTTTCCATTCCTGAAAGAAATAATTACATATTTCATATTCATTGGATCTATGATACAATAAAAGTGTTGATAAGTACAGGTATACATAATTCTTGTAAAGTGATCGCTCAAGCGCGAGAAAGGCATGGCTGAATAGTTATGGGTTTTATTCTCATACACAGACGTATCCAGGTCATGATAATAGTATTCCGTGCTGTCACCTTGTCGTTGAGCAATAAATCGCACTTTTTCTACTTACCCGTCTGAAGTGTCATGCTACCAAATCATGAGATATCAGATTGTCGACACTACAGAAGCGTTTGTTAGTGATCCCATCATCATGTGGACACCATCTGTATGTGATACTGACTGTTGTGAGGAGTGAAAACCGCTGTAAAATAAGCCAACGTTCTCCCAATAGCATACGATAGTCTTATGATGGCGGTATTCATAAAGAAGGCCACTCAGGGTGTATTTATAGTGTTATCATACTGAATTGCACTAGGTGAGATAGTCAGGAGAAGCAAGTAGATAGGACTCGACAACTGCACTAATTAAAATTACAAACACCTTAAGTTTATCATTTGACTTTTTACAACATGTATTAGGAGTGTTAATCTCTCTATACACACACAATATTCCAAAATGTTTTGAACTATTCTTGGTTTATTTTTAACCAGAGATAAATAAGTTGCAGAAGTTTCATTTTAACTATATTCTGTAGGTAAATTTTGTTAATTTTTGTAACACATAATCCTATTGGTAAAATACACATCCAGGCCCCAGTTTCACCAATCTTCCTTAACTTTTAAGAAATCTTAACTCCCAAATTACATAACCATTTACATAAGTTAAGGAAAAACTTACAATTAAAAGAAGCTCCATTCCTTAACGTTTTTCGATGAGCAATGCATGATAATTATAAGGTAAGGAAAATTCTTTAAGGAAGATTTGTGAAACTAGGGCCATCGTTTATCCATTATTTTGTTTTATTTTCATTTTTTATTTTTACAGTATATCATGTATGTCGTTATATTATCAACTCAACGACAATTTAAACAACCGATATGATTGCTTTTGCCATCAATCAAAGTTGATCAATCAATAATTTATTTTATTAAAGTGTAGTTAAAGATACAGTTAATAAAATCCATTTGAAGAATAAAATAGCTAAGACAGGTAAGATATATTTCATTTAAGTGACACTTGTTTTAGAAACGTAAAAGTACATTGATCAAGTACACGTACTTTGTACAGACTCTCTAGCCTAAAATAATCACAAAACTTTTACTAAAAAACATCTCTCATGAGATGTACCAGTACCGAGCAACAATATTCAATATTACAAACATAGCAGTTATAATTATACTTTAGAATAATGATATAATACTATAATGGTAATGTGTAAAGTATATACATGTACTACTAAAATCACAAATATGGTTTTAAGGTTGAAGGTTTTTATTAATCACTCTGACACATACATATACAATTACATTATAACGGCGTGTGGCGATAAGTACAACATTACAAGTTTTTCAACATATAACATATTTAGAAGGAGTTCAACCTAGCTGACACAGTAATTAATTTATTTATTGGCGTGCTGTTACAATCTGATGACCATCCCTCAGCTTTTCAACTGTTTTCGGGCCAGAGAGTCCATTGGAGTGGTATATAACGATCTTTTCCTTCGCAAAAGGTGACAATCGTCGACCATCATCCATTTCCGCATACGAGATGATGCACGCCTCGTTTTTGACTATGTTTCGAAACTCATTGAAATTGCCGGGAACACAGAAAGCAAAATTTCATGGTATCGAGCCATTCTCTATGATCGCGCGAAGGACATTGACGGTTGTCCTGTGTCACGTCTTGTAACACGCAAAACTACTACAAAGAGCTCAGCCCAAGAGAAGTATGCTAAAGATTGTCATGCATTACAACAATTTCTAGATGGCGAGTCGGTGTCAGAGTTGTCCGATATTTTTTCATCGTCTCAATGTTGCGGGCGCACCCCTAATCTGGACACATCTAGTATGAATGTAACTTTTAATAACTTGGAAGACTGTCCCTTAGCGAAGCACTCTGATATCGTGTTCTTAAAGGTTGAAATGGCCAGCCTTCGAGCATTGCTTCATGAATCAAGAGAATCTTCGAAAAATCGAATGGACTCTGTGATTGAGACTCAAAAGGGCTTAGCCCAAGACATTTCCAGCATCAAGGCCCAACTTTGCCAGACTTGTGACTCAATTACTAAAGTCCTTGACGTAGGGAAGTTTACGAATTCTTCTAAGTCTAACGTAGAACTCCCTGAAAGTCTTCTGGTTGTTGAGTCAAAGGTATCAACTCTAGAAAAGTCTCGAAATTCAGTCACCTCTGAGATTTCTAGTATTTCCAAGTCGATTGAAAACAACAGTCTTGGAATCTCTCGTCTAAATGATGACCGCTTTGGCAGTGCCACTTCCCTTCACAATAACATTAGAACGATTAACGGGAAAATGTCCGTGCTAGAGCACGATCTCGGCGAAGCTAAATCACGCACTTCTTCAGCCATTGATAGCATTATTTCCTCTCTGAAACCTCGAATCCGGCAAGTTGAAATTGATGTCAAAGAGGTTTCTCAGAAAGCAAAGCAATCTACAGATAATGCGGTCCGAGCTTTTGCACAGGAACTCAGTACGCAGCTGACCTCTGTGGAAGATTTTGTTGCAAATTCTGTTCAGAAGTCTTCCAAGAACACCCCCGATTCATTGCCTGTTCACTACGATAACTCTCATCGGACACCGCGTTCAAGTGATCCTCCTAGGGATGTTCCTAAGCGTGAGTTGTCCCCACGTCCTCCAGAATGCCCTGTTCAACTCTCCCAGCATTCTGCATTTTCCAAGCACTCCCACCCAGAGTTGGTGGGACCACAGCCGTCGTTAAAACGAGTTCAGGTTGGATTCGTCGCTGTGACACGGAATAAAACTACTCGTCTCTTTCTCAGTGGAATGTCGTCGGAAAGATGCTCTGCTGACGACATCAGATCATTTCTGGAATCTCGAGATGTCAAGGTCACGCTTGTTCGTTCGTTTGCTTAAAAGCAAGCGGAAATATTCTGCCTCTGCCCGCATCAACGTAATCTCCGCTGATGCTCCGAAGACAAAGGTAACAGGATTTTGGCCAAAAGGCATCCGCTGTCGTAAGTGGCTATCTAATAAGAGATTCCACAGAAAACACGCAGGCAGACACTGATGATTGTGATTAGTACTTCATTCTACCTCCTATTGTACTTTACTTTACCGGTGTTGATGAATTCCTGGAACGTAACCGGCATTATGTCGGCTGCTTCCCACCTACATGACGCTCTTAATAAAGTAGACATTTTGGCATCCGCTGAGCAGTGGCTCTTCGAAGACAATGACTGACATATGCGTTGGTCCGTTACATTCATATGTACATTCCGAGGATGGTTCGTCATCATTGATAGACCATATTTTTGTAAATTCCTCAAATGTTGACCTCGTGAGGAGCTGTGCCGTCCTAGACCACGATTTTCTCGACGTGTCTAATCACAGACCCTTATTAGCGGAGTTACGGATTCCTCACTCCACTCAGAATGAAACATGTGAAACTATCTCTTGGATCTCGTATAGATGGGTTCCTGCAGGAGATTCTAAAAACGTTGATGTTTATCGAGACAATCTGGACGTAAGCATCATCAACTCTGCGTTATAGAACACACAAGAACTGTGCTCAAAGGATGATGTTGACATATTTACCAGAGAGCTCATGAACTGCATTCGGTTAACGTCCGATCGGGTATTGCCTAAACGAAAGTTTTGTAAATTCCTGAAGCCATACTGGAATGGTCAACTGAAGGAGTTACATCGTAATATGTGGAGGCTTCGCCAGGTTTGGGTCTCTGAGGGACGGCCTCGAGGTTCTAATACCCGTTCCTTTAGGCTTTATAAAGATTCTAAACGTTTATTCAGGAATAAACACCGGCAGATATCTGAAAAACATATTGTAGTCCTTAATGACGAAATATAAAAATGTGCTGACGTTGATCAGAAGTCCTTTTGGTCCCTCATTAACAAACGCCGCAAGTCCTCCGCTGGAACTGTCGGTGCAGACATGAACTTTAATGGAGTGACGATTAGGGATCCAGCTCTTTTGGCCCTTCACTGGGGGAATTATTTTGAAGACATTTATTCAAAGTCTAATTGTAATAATTTTGATTCACGTTTTGAAAAACGAGTTAATGAATCCATTGTCAGTAGTTTTTGTTGTGACATCGATGATAATTTCGAGGAGTTTTCCTTAACCGATATCAAGAATGTTTGTAAAAGCTTACCATGTGGTAAAGCAGCTGGTTACGACCATATCGTTTACGAGCACCTTTTATATGCTCCTGACACTTTGTACAAGTGTTTTTATGTTCTCTTCAATGCATTCTTAAGGTTAGAGTATGTTCCTCCTGTTCTCACCAAAGGCCTCATCTGTACTTTGTATAAGGGTCATAACAAACCTAAAAATGACCCAAATAGTTATCGTGCGATCTCACTTTTGCCAGTAATTTTAAAAGTATTTGAAAAATTACTACTCGCTAGGCTCCAGGCTTCAGATTTGTTTGTCCCACATCCGTTACAGAACGGTTTTCAAAGGAATGTTAACAGTACTATGACGTCATTTCTAGTTCATGAATCTGTGACGTACGCATGTAATAACAACAGTAAACTCTTCACTTGTTTCCTTGATGGTGCCAAGGCATTTGACTGTGTTTGGCATAATGGCCTTTTTA